GGCTGGCTACAACGAGGCCCTGCTGCACAAGGTAGGGCTGGGGCAGCGGAGGTGCTCGGAGAGGGGGGGAACCAGGGGGTGCTGGGGCGACGTGGGAGCGACTGCCGCGGCAGGGAGGCGGCTTCAACTTCCCCGGCAAACTCTGTCCCTCCTCGCTCCTCTTCCCCCGCTGGGGTCCATCCTCCACCCCCCCCCATCCCGGCGGGGTTGGGGTGGGGGATGCGGCTGCAGCTCGGTCCCGGTCCCCGCCACCTCCCGGCTGATGGTGGGGAGGGGGGGCGGCAGGATCGGACGTGTTTTGGGCAGCAAAACCAGGCAGGAGCGCTGGAAAGGGGCCAGCCCCGCGGCACAGCCCGGCGTTCAGCCGCTCCCGCTGTCCTGTGCGTGCTCCGGAGGGTCGGGGGGAGCTGCACCCCGGGGGTCTGGTTGCCAGAGACAGCCTAAGGAGCGGGGACTTCCCTGCCATGAAATAGCAGTGTCCCAAGAGACGTCCATCCCTGCCCTCCTTGCTTTAAAATCCTTCTCTTCTGTGGGGTCCCTGGGACTGCGTTTTGTAACTCTACATTGCACGGAGGGTGGCCGGGGCCGCTGCTGTCGCTGCAAGACCTTGGGCGGCGCAGGCTCTGCTGCAGGCTCTGCCGGAGCAGGGCTTTTGCTCCCTGCAGTCAGACACTCCCCAGCAACTCCAGGAGACATGGAGGAGATGCTGATCTCTGCCAGATCCACCCATCACTCCTTCTTGCTGTCCTCATGCTGCTTTGCTGCAGTCCCCAGTGACTGTGCAGGGACCGACACCCCTGGGGAGCAGGGGGAAAAGCAGGGATGGGCCAGGGCAGGGGAAAGGGCTGGGGCTGTCCGGATCCCTCTTCACAAATCCCAGTCTATTCTATATCCCGCTCTACTCAGGGCAATGTGCCCAGCCCTTGATTAGCAAGAAAATATCAATTACTAGCAACTCTCATTTCTGTTGTACGCGGCGTACGTAGGACATGCCTCCAGGGATGACTCAAGAAACTTTGATTCTTTGCAAAGCCTTAACTCTCTCTTCTCCAGCAGTGAGCTGCTGCAGTGAAGGAGTGACACTGGTAGAACTGAGTCTCTGGGCAGAAGAGCTGCCCAGGCAAATAACCACCCCAGTCCCATTTCCCTGCCGTTTCCCTTGGTATTTTGCTGCCACTCCTGGCTGGGTTGCTTGTCTTGCAGAAACAAGCCTGCTCTTGCTCCAGGGAGGTGAGGCAGCAAATACTTTGCTAGATCTTGTTTCTGAGCAAGGAATTGCATTTCAGATGTGCTGGGAAACCCTGAGAGAGGTTTGCACTCTGGAGCCAAAGGTTAAGTGATTTCAGGTTGGTGGCTAAACCCAGGCCTGGGGCTAGGGGCAAATCAAAGAGGGAACAGCAGAGGTTTGTTCTGGGCTGTTCCAGAAAAGTTTCACTTGACACAAAATGACAGATTCTGCTTTCAGGTGATTTGATCCATTGCCAAATCATTCTTCCTCCCATTGGATGCTTGGATCCATTTAGCTGGAACAAGCCCCACGGGGAGCGAGATGTGCCCTTGGGCTGTGGTTGATCCAAGGCGCTAGCAAGCGGTTTGCAAACAGGGAGCCACTGCATGATCTGAGCCAGCTTTTGTTTGATGTGCAGCCCTAGAGCTCGTATCTACAGGGCTGAAATACAGCTCTGCCAGGGCAAGGGCCCAGCGGGGCTGGCAGAGGGCCCCAGGCTCTGGTGTGAGCCAGCGTAAAGGGCTTGGCCATGGTAAAGCAGCACCTGGGCAGGGTGGGGACGGCCCTGGGGTGTCCCTGCGGCACAGAACAGCTCAAGGCAGCGTCCAGCAGCATCCAAGTTGCCCTGGAACACTGCCTGGAGCAGGGGAGAGGCAGCGCAGTTCCCTATATAGAGCAGGTAAAAATAAGTCTCGGTAATGCCGCCCTGAGAGACCATGAGAGCGGGGTGGCGAGGGGCCGAAAGCAGCCGCGGCTTCGCGCTCGGAGCTCTCCCAGTGCTGTGTCCTGGCTGGGCTCTGCAGGCAGCTGTGCTGGGGTGCACGTACACCATCGCCACAATTTGTAGCAACAAATCCTGCTGACCTGGGAGAAAACCTTTGGGTTTGGGGCTTCAGCAACTGTCTGAGAGCAGCGGAACAGCCCGTGGAGGGCACCTCTCCCCTCCCTGCGTCCCCCAGGACTGGGGTTTTACCCTGTCAGGCTCCTTCTAGCTACATTTAGGTCTAGCTACTGCATGCTAAAGCTCAAAAATGAACTGGGAAGATAACCTCAACCCACAGGCGCTATCCCCGATCTCCTCCCGCTTGGCTGGCACTGGAAATGCAGCAATCGCCTCCCTACGCTGCCTTGACAGCCATGCAAAACTTCTCTCCCCAAGGCACGCTAGACCAAAATATTTCCTTTGCTCACTGGCTGCCAGCACGGGTAGGCGAGATCTGAGCGGGTTTGCCCTCGCCGCCCCGTCGCTCTGCCTTGTCTCTGCAACCTACATCGAGCCAGCAGCGATTTTGAAGGGAGGTGATTCGTCTAGGTCTGAATTAGCCCAAACCCCCTAATTTGAGGTGTGGGGAGGGATGTTTGCTCTTTCCCGAAGGCAGAGCTGGCAGACAGGCCTGCTTCGGGGTGTGTTACAAGCTGTGCCTGCTTTTCTGCCGAGGCCGTGGAGCAGGTGAGCTGCGGGGTGGTGGGGAAGCGAAGTGGAAATCATTTTCTTTAGCTGGAAAGAGGAATTGCTTTGATTGTGCTGGGGCTCAGGAGTGGCGCTTTGGGACTGTCACCGAGTGGCTCTCCGCCTCTTGGCCAGGTTTCCCGCTGCGCCTCGGCCAGCCCATCTGTGCGTGCACGCCGGCAAAGCCCTGCTCCATCCCCATGCCACCATGCAGACAGGAACGGCAGCACCAGAAGGAATCTTGCAACTTTTTACCAAAGTTTTCCAAGCAAAAAAAAAAACAAAACCCTGGAAAAACCCGGGGGGGCTGAGAGGGTGCTGGGGAGGCCGGGCTGTGGCTGAGGATGCTGGCAAGAGGCAGAGTGGGTGCAGAGCGGGTACGGAGCTTTGTCGCTGGGAGGCTTCTTGCTATCGTGACTCAGGCATGTCCATCCTGAGCTTTCGACAGCTGGCTAGCCACATCCACTCCACACTGGGGTTTTTATTCTTCCTTTATGTTTATTTTGTAGCCAGGAAGGCCACGGTGATTTCCACTGTGCTGTACTTCCACAAAGCCCATGAGCTTTTCCTAAAGTCATTAGGAAAGTTTCTTGGCTGCTTCTGGCCAACTTTTACTATTGTTATTATTAAGTCATGAAGCAATTCATGAGTTGTCTCTATTATAAATCCCAATTAAATTATTGATAGGGGAGTCTGCCTTTTATACATGTTCTCTGTAAATCCTGGGCTCTGGAGGCTTTCTGGTGCTCATTCCAGCCGACTCTCCTCCCTCCATAATTAATGTCGTTCTCTGCATTAACTGCTCCCGAAGACAGTGTTGCAGGCTGCAGCCGGTCTCGTTGCACTTCCCAGCACCAGGATTTGACCTGGGAATAGTGTGCAGCACCAAAAAATGCAGCGCTGGGGTGCAGGAGCCCCGTGGCAGCGAACTCGTGGGGTGTTTTCCCATGTGGCTGCTCCAGGGCAGATCCTGCTCTCTGCATGGCAAACATTTCTGGGCAAAGCCAAGGGGGCTTGGGCAGGGAAATTCCCCTCAGGGAAAGGGGTGACCCAGCTCCCCTGACCCATGTGCAAGGGCTTCACCCAGAGATTTCTGCCTCCCAACATCCCCCCAGCTCCTGCACGGGCTCCCAGCCCACGAGGCTGCTCTGAATGTACAAGTGACCCGCAGCCAGCCCAACGTCTGGTTAGGGAGGAGGGAGAAATCTCCGGCTGCGGATCTGGCCGCAGTTTGCTGCCTCTCAGCACACGGGCCCGTGTGGCGGTGTGTGTCTGGCTGAGGTGCAGAGCTCCCTCCTGCCAACAGCTCCTCTCGGCCAGTCAGGCTTTTCCCAGGAGACGTTTGGGGTTTGGGATGTTTTTTCCGGGGGAAAAGGCTGATTCACTGAAGCGAGCGTTTCACTGAAGCGTATCGGCGTTAACAGGCTCCAGGCAGGTTGTGGAGCAGTGATTTATGCAAGGCAGGATGCTGGTCTCCTGCCAGTCCATGTTCCTGTTTCATTTGTGGTCCTCGAGCTTGTTGGCTTTTGGTTTCAACCCACGCCTTTGGGGTCCATGGGGCGGCAGGAACTGCAGTGCCGGGCACTGTGGCATGTGCCTGGTGGCCGGTTGCCCCACGACCTCCCAGGGCACGAAATCAGGCCTTGATCTGCCGGGGCTGTTCAGGCACTTGATTAAACACACTCTCACCTGCACTTCACAAGGGGGTACGTGCCGTGCCTGAAGCGGGGCCAGGCTGGGTTTCACCTCGGGGCCCCTCGGTGCAGGGGAGGTGATGGAGGGACGGGACCGGCCATGTGCGGAGGCTCCCCTGGCCGTCGGGAAGATGCTGAAGCACCAGCTCCTGCTCGGCAGGCGAAGAGCGACCTTCGCAATGTCACCCTGGGGTGAGGATGAAGGGCTGAGGTGCCCTGGGATGGAGCGAGGCTGCTGGAGCTGCATCAGACTAAACACAAATCAACGGGGGAAATGAGATGCAGTGAATGCGGCACAGGGGGAAGCAGAGGGGGGAGGTTCAGCCTCAGCACCTCGCTGGCTCAGGGGTGGCAGGGGGACCGGTGACAGTGAGGACACTGCCCCGGGGCCAGCTCGGCGCTTGCCAGGGCTGCAGCTACGGGAACGCCCGTGTCCTGAAAGACAGAGCCAAAACCACTTCTAAGCAAGAAGCCAGTTAGCAGAGTGTTTATTTTAACTTGTGTCCCTGTGAAAGGGTTGAAAGCGCCTCGGTTTCCTGAAAGGATGGGAATGTTTGCGCCGGTGGCTCTGCCAACAAACCCCAGATGCTGGCAGAGAGGGGAGGGAGGGGTTTGCGTTTGCACTGTTGGTCTTCCTTAGGCCAGGGATTTAGAGGAACACGGGCAGGAGCAGAAGGGAGGACGGGCTCCCCGGGGATGCGGTGTGGGTACCGGGACCAAGGGCTGGCAGCTTGGGAGCTGCTCGGGAGGTGATCGCAATGCCCCAGCTCTGACACCCGCACAGCTCCCTCGTCCCTTCTGCTTGCGAACAAGCAAGCTCTGCTCCCCGCGGGAGAGCCCCGGGGCTTCCCACGAAGGGCTGGAGAGGCAGGGGGGCTCCGTGACATCAAACCCAGCGCCCTGCCGGGGAACAGCGCTGCAGACACACAGCGTTAATGCAGCTTGAAGGCAGCCTGGTGCCCCGGCGCGGCTGTGGCAGTGGCTGTGCGCAGCAGCTGTGGGAGACGCTCTCTTTATTAAACGGCTTTGGACCTAATCCAGCACTGCCAGAATCCTCCCAAAGAGGTTTTCCACCAGAGCTGTGTGAGCCAAGGCTGCCTCTGCCCGGCAGCTTCCCGATGCGGGGCAGCAGTGTCTCCTGCTCGCTCTCCGTGTCGGGCTGCGCTTTGCTTTCTCTTCCACCTCTCTGCTCTTGGAGAGGGCCCATGCCCGAAGCTCAGCCTGGGGCACATTTCATTTATTACAGAGATGGTCAGAGGGGTGGAAATTCCTCTCCGGGCACGTGCCAGGACCAAAAGTGACAGCAAAGGACAGGGCACAGCAGGACAAGCCATCTGGCCATGGCACTGGCACCCAGCAGCCCACGGGGACAATCTGCTGCCGCCGAGCAGGGCTGTGCAGTGGAGCTGTGCCCTGGGGCTCATGGCTCTGCCATGGGCTGGGGCCGGGCTGCTCCCTCCCGGTCCTGCTGCGTTTGCTGCCGCATCCCCCTGGCACCCCCTCCCCAGACGCCCCGTCCCCAGCTGCACCCCGTGCCTGCAGGCTCTGGCATCGCCTGCTCCCGCGCCCTGACGCCTCTTTACCTGGTCCTTGCAGACGATCCTGGTCGGAGACAGCGGCGTGGGGAAGACATCTCTGCTGGTCCAGTTTGACCAGGGCAAGTTCATTCCTGGCTCCTTCTCTGCCACCGTGGGCATTGGGTTTACGGTAAGAGCCCAGTCCCTGGTCCCCGGGCTGTACAACCTCGCTCACCCTCAGGGGAGCAGTTTTATTTGGGTAATCATAATCTATGATTCTGTGATTCTAAATGGTGCTAAGCACAAAAAATTGGGAGAATTTTCTTTGGTGCTGCTGGATGAGGGGCCCGGTTTCGCTGTGTGCTTGCCGGCAAGCTGAGGGCAGGCACGCTTCGGGCTGCCGGGGGGATGGAGGATGGACAAGTCTTCGCGTCCTGAACCCCTCGGTAGGGCCATGCCTGAGCGCAGCCTTTTGCCTTGCACCTGGAAAGCCGTCTTCGGAGCGGCCCTGCTCTCCCAGGGAGAAGCCAGCCTGTGTCCTGCCTGTGCGGCCCGCGGCCCTCGCGAAAAGTCAGGCAGATGGTGGCAGCGCCTGGGTAAAGCACTCGGCTGCCGGCCAGTGCTATTTGTAGAGCTGCTGCGGGGCCAGCAAACAGCTCCGACGCTTGTGTCCACTCTCCCAGGGGAGCCCAGGACACAGACAGCGCTTGGGACCTCACCGCACGGCGAGGCTGGCATCCCTCCAGCATCCGTGCCAAGGCTGGAGCTCAGCAAGAGGCTGTTGCCCACGGGGAGGCTGTTGCCCGTGGGGATTTTCTCTCTAGTCCAGGCCAAGGAAGCAGGGAAACGTGGTTTCGGTGCGGGGGGCCTGGGGCCAAGCAGCCCAGGGGCTGGCAGCCAAGAGTGCCCCCCTGGGCAGTGCTGAGCCCTGGGCAGGCAGGGGAGGCTCAGCCGTGTTCCCAACCTTTGCCAGCTCCCGGCTGCCTCGTTTCTCCTGCAGCAAATGCCAGTGTGTGGAGGTGATGCTCAGCCAGGCATTTTTCCTGCCTAGGCAACTCCATGAGCACCAGCACGGTTCGCCATATCCTTCCAGCCCCCCTCCCCAGCAAGCTGCAGGGGAGCTCAGCCGCTCTGAGCACCTCCAGCCTTCATCTCCGGGCACTTCCCTAGCCAAAGAGCGTATATAAACTATAAATCCCGCAGCTGGGTCTGAGCGCAGTTACGGGACTGGAAATACAGGTTCCCTTTCCCGAGGGGCAGAGGAAGGCTTGGCTGGAGCAGGAGCTGGCAGCCGGGGAAGGTGCGGAGGCGGGCGCCGTCGCGGAGGGCAGCTCTGCCATCGGACCCCCCGCAGCCACGTGTGGCCTTCGCCTGGAGAGCGGCGAGGGGCACGGCTCTGCACCGGAGCCCCGTGCGCCTGAATCCCAGCGGTGTGAGTGGGGCTGGGGGGTTTGCACTGAGCTCAGCCCTGGCACGGAGGAGATGGGCTGGGTATCCCGGGGAAAATAAATCAGAGGGGGCTGAAGGCTCCTGTCAGCCTGAAGACCCCAGGTCGCTGTAGTGCATGGACCTGGATGGAGTTTTGTGGAGTGAATTTTTGGGTACCACAACGTCCTCAGCTCTCTCCCGGGACTTCTCCCGCATTCCCACGCTTGGGCTTTTCCCAAATGAAGTGCACTATGAGCCAGGCCCCAACAGCCGGCGTAGGATGCTGGGGGCTGTGAGCAGCCGGGGGAGCGGGAGCCCCGGCAGCCGTCCCGGCCGGGACGCAGGCGCCGCTGAACCGGCTCACCGCAGCGCGCGGCTTCCGGCTAACGGCCGCCGCTTCTGGTTTCCTCCCGGCTTTGTTGCGCCTTGGTGCTAACCCGGGGCCCAGCTCGGCAGCCGTTGGGGCTGCAGCAGACAGGGCAAACCCTCCACCCCTGGGTGGGCTGGTGGGGTGGAAGCAGGAGCTGCCGGCCCCACTGTCCCCACCGTCCCCACCGTCCCCACCGACACGGCGTGGCGGGGGTGATTTGGCAGCACCGGGGTCTCCATCCCCACACCCCGTGGGGGACGGGGGACTGTTCATTTGTGGGGTGAGCGGTTCCTCCTCTCCCCATCCATGTGCCCAGAGGGACGGGGCCGGGCTCTGCCCGCTGTCTGGTGCCGCTGAGCCCCTGGCAAACCCCAGCACCCAGGTTTTGGGGTGGGGGTGGGGGGCAGGTTTCCAGCCTTGAGCCTCCTCTTCCTCATCCCGCGGCCAGGCTGGGTAGGGAGGCGACCGGGGCACAGCCTTGGGGGTGGCATCGGCCGGGGAAGGGGAAGGAGGCGGCCCCAGCTGAGCCCCCCCAGCCCTGCCCGCCCCTGCCCCGGGGGGGTCCCAGATCTAGCAGATGTGGGGATGGGGGTCCTCCCCCCCCCGGGAGGTGGAGACAGGGGATCCCTGCCCCGAGGTGGTGATGGGGGTCTCGGCTTGGTGGGCAGCGGGACTCCCTGGGGGGGTGCACGGCCGAGCTCTGCCCTCTGAAAGCCCGTCCTGCCCTTCTCTGGGCGAGGGGGGCTGCTGGCAGCCGGGGCAGCCGTGCCCCCCATGGTACAGGGCAGGGGAAGCAGGGCCCCATCCAGCATCCCAAGGGCACTGGGCAGGGGGGCAGTGGCTGTGCCCCGGAGCCGAGCCAGCCCAGGGCCCCGCAGCCCCCTGCACTGCAAACACCCCTGCGCCCCTGCCCAATACTGGGGTGGGAACCCTCCTCCCCGAGGGTCCCCGCTGCCCCAGCCTGCCCCAGGGGAGCACACTCCTCTTGCCGGCGACGCTGGGGAGGCACGGGGTGGGTGAACCTTTTCCCTGAGAAATTTAATACGCAGCCCCAGGCTGAGCCCGGCATTGACAGTGCCAGCCCCGAGACCTCCCGCCTCACTGAGCCTGCTCCCAAAGCGGTCCTGTATGCTGCCACCTTCCCTAAACCACTTTTATTCCTTTGCCTTCACCCTCTCCGCTCTGTATCCTTTCACGGGCTGATACCGGAGGGAGATTTTTGTGTTAGAGGGAAGAACTCAGTCGCCAGCTTGATCTGGAGCGAGGTGGAGGCAGAACTGGGTGGTGATCCCAGCCTGGGCCGGGCAGGGGTGTCCCGGGGAAGGACTGGACCAGTGAAGTGGGTTGGCAGGAGGCAGAGCATTTCCAGCCCCCAGCTCTGGCTGTGCTGGCCCACAGGACGTTTGCTGTGCCATAGCTGCGGAGGGTGGGCACGGCTCGCCGCGTTCGCCCAGCCCGGGGGCAGCGGGGCCGCCTGGGTTTGCTTTGCAGGCTCCAGCGTCCCGGCAGGGTGGGCTTGTGGGGATGGACCTGCTTGCTGGAGTCCTGCTCACTGCCATTTTTAGGCACGGGATAGATGCAGTCGGTGTCAGGTTAATTATTGCCGGGCAGGAATGGGCTGCTGCCGGCAAGCAGGGAGGAGAGCACGGCGTCGGGGCGTCGGGTAAGGCTGTGCTTACGGAGACCAGCATCGGTCCTGGCTGCTGCCTGCCCGGGTCTGGCAGTGCTGGAGCGGCCGGGGAGCCCATGCTGAGCCTGTTTGCTTAGCAGGAGGGGAAAAGGCACTGTGTTTGCTTTGGTGTCTGCGGCAGGCAGGGCCCTGGGCACCCACAGGGCGAGAGTCCCGGACACGGCGGGGTTTGCCCAAGCCATGCATCAGCCCTTGGGCTGGGCACACCTGGGCCGGGGGCGGAGGTGGCTCTACCTGTCCGGGAGCTGCGGCCGGTTCTCCAAGAAGGTTCCTGGGTTGGGAGACGGTCAGGAACCAGCCAGGAGACATCTCTTCTTGCTGCGGTATCTGCCTTCCCACCAGCTCTCCTCTTCTGCTCTTCCCCTCTTCGGTGGCTGCCCGCTGCCCTGGGGCACTGCTCGGCTGCACCCTCAGGGGTCCCATCCCACTCCCCGTTCCCATGGGGCTCCCCAGACCCGGCAGGACCAGCCCTGGGGAGAGAATTGGAGGGACACAAGGGAGCGGGGAGGGGCTCAGCACCATCCAGGGATGCTGCCCCCTCCCCGCTGACACCTCTCCCGGCGCCCATCTTGCAGGTGATGTTACTTGGAGACTCGGGCGTGGGGAAAACCTGCTTCCTGCTCCAGTTCAAAGACGGGGCCTTTCTCTCCGGGACGTTCATAGCCACCGTGGGCATAGATTTCCGGGTGAGACCACCACGGCTGCCAGCCCCTCGCCTTCCCCAACCCGCACCTCGGCCAGGACGGAGCGCTGGAAAGGGGGACGGGGGGTTTCCAGTCTCTGCAACCCAAATAATCTCCTAACCAGCTGCAGGCGCTTGCTGAAACCCTCCCACCTCTCCCTGGGAGAGCAGTAACAGATGGAAGAGCCCGCTGGGAATGTCACTTCTTGCCTTTAAATCAGCAAAAAGCCTCGGTTTAGCCCATCCTGGATGGGTGCGTGGGCTGGGGGTGTGCAGTGGGCGGCCGGCACGCTCCACCGGCCGGGCTGAGGCCAACGGCTGGCGGGGACAAAGGCTGGTTGCTGTAATTTTGTGCCTTGAAAGGGCTGAAATTGGCTGCTGAGGAGTTGTTAAGGTCACCGGATCCCGTTTAAACTCTCCCGCTGCTCTCCGTTCACCAAATTTCAGCTGCAGGGTCTCTCTGGGGATGCACGGGCAGGCAGAGCTGTTTGCAGCACAGGGTAGAGCAGTGTTTCAGCAGGCTGGAAGTGATGGGGGTGTCCCCAGGCCCGGCTCTGCCTGCGGCTGCCGACACGTGTCGAGCGCGGTCGGCGCTTCCTCTGCCTCCGCAGCTGCAGTGGCTCCGGTTTTCTGCCGCCTTTGCTGCCTGGGCTGCTCTTGGCTTGCAGGGGGGAACTGGGGAGCAAGGGCCAGGGGGAAGGGGCTGTGGGTTTGCTTTGGAGGGGTCTTGTAGCCTGTCCTTCCAATAAAGTCATGAAAGAAGGAAAATCTGCTGTGTCCCACTGCTGGGCTCAGCACCGGTGGCCCCGGGGAGCTGCCAGCTCAGCCTCATGCAAGCATCCCCTCCAGCAGCACAGGGCTTGCTGCTGGTAGGTAATTTCCAGCATCTCCTAGGGCACATTTTTTGTTTTATTCAGCTCATTTTCTCAACTTTTATCATCTCCACATGGGCTGAATTTCCATTTCAAACAATTCCAGGCAACCAAATTATTTATAGGGGTCTTCTCTTTCCAGAATCATCCCTCCACGTACAATTCTACAAGTCTTAAAATAGCCCTTTGGTAACTCCTGCTTTTCTTTTCTCGGGCCTCTGGAGAGATGTCCCTGGCTTTCAAGTTGGGTATAGTGATTGCTTAAGCCCTCTCTGATAACCGCCTTCCCCATTCATTTGCAAATGCTGCTTCCCTACCTGGTCCCAGGAGATTTTCTCCTGCAGTGCCGGATAAAGCTGTCTGCTACCTGCAAGCCCCCAGCTCAGTGTGTGCAACCACCCTTAAGGGCCAAGCAAGGCTCCCACCAGCAAGAAAACCTGAGCTGGACAGCCAGCGTCGCCCACGGAGCATCCCCAGGCAGCTTGTAGCATCCGAAGGCCTTAAATTGCTGCAAATAGCCCAAATTTTTCGTGTGGCGGTGGTTCCTTTGGCATGTGGAGCAGAGGAATCCTGGCAGAAGGGTCAGGGCTTTATGGTGGGCAAATAGAAAAGCAGGCCAAGATGTTATTAATAGACAAATGTGCAAATTAATGCACATTTGCATGTAGTTCATGCAAGACCCTTCCCTCTTCCCCAGCTCTGCCGAGCTTCCCCTGGCCACCTGGCAGCCTGCATTGTTAGCCAGCTCGTTAGGAGCCACAGGACAGGGGTGCTGGCTGTAGGAGATGAGCGAGGCACCGGATCCAAAGCAGGCTGGGATCTCGCTGTCCTGTCTCCATCAGGGCCTGATTCTGCCCTTTTCCACCCTGGCATGAGGGGACGCTGCTCTGGGATGTCCCTGGAGGTGCCACGGGGCATCGCAGCCCCCCAGCAGGACCAGGGTTTGTAGCGATGAGGCTTCAACGTCCAGCCCCATGGGCAGCCTGGCTTTGTCCCGAGGGGACGGGGCACAGCCAGGTCCGCACCGGGGCTGGCTGGTACCCGTGCCAAGGCACGCTTTGGGCTGATAAACGTGCTCTCCTTCTCTTCTGCAGAACAAAGTGGTGGCTGTCGATGGTGTGAAGGTGAAGTTGCAGGTGAGCTTTGGGAGGAGGTGAGCAATTCCCAGCCGTGCTGCTGGAAAACAACCCCTAGACTGAGCGCGGGTGGGCTGGGGGCTGCAGGGGCATCCCCAGCTGCGGGTTTCCCCTCCCCGCTCTCACCGGGGCGGCTTCTTGGCAGATCTGGGACACGGCAGGACAGGAGCGTTTCCGCAGCGTCACCCACGCCTACTACAGGGATGCCCAAGGTGGGTTCGGGGTCCGGCGGGGACGGGGGAGACCGGCCAGAGTGCATCCCTGCAGCGGGGCAATGCCTCTGCCTCTTCCCTTCCAGCCCTGCTCCTGCTCTACGATATCACCAGCAAGATGTCCTTCGACAACATCCGCGTGAGTCCCCTCTGCCGGTCGGGAGCGTGTTTCTCCCTGGGGATCGGGGTGGTGGGTGCCCTGCGTGGCTTGCTGGGTGCTTGGGGCAGTTCAAAGCTCGTTTTGCATGCAAGCACCGGCTGTTTCGGGCAGAGCCAGCCGGCTGGGAGCTCGTCGCTGGGGCGCCCGGCTGGGCGCTGCACGGCTGGGTGAGTTTTGTTTAGGGACACGGTAAATGGCTGGAGGGAGAAAACGCGGTTTGGGATGGACGTGAACTACATGTAGGCTTGGGCCGTAGCCAGGAGACGGGGCATTTTCAGGACTGTTCGGCTGTGATGCTGGAATAGTTCCCATGCCAAAAAAAAAGCTGTTTTCCCAGTCTTCGTGCGGGGCGTGTGGGCTGAGAGGGGAGGGACGGGGGTACCGCTCGCCCTGACGCAGCCCCAATCTCCTGCAGGCCTGGCTGACGGAGATCCACGAGTACGCCCAGAAGGACGTGGTCATCATGCTGCTGGGCAATAAGGTGCGTGCAGGGTCCCCCTTCACCCCGCGGTGTGCCGTGCTATGCCGTGCCGTGCCGTGCCAGCCCTGCCCTTGCCATCCCTGCGGCTGCGGAGGGATGGGGCTTGGTGGACACTCTGCCTGCGGGCTGGGTGCACCCTGCCTGCACCCTCCGCCAGGCTCTGCTGATTTCTGGGCTCAGCCAGGCCCAGAGGTGATCCCAGAGGTTTGGGGGGTCGGGGAGGGTTGGCGTCCCTGGCAGCTGCGGGCGGCAGCATGAGGCTGAGGCTCCCGGTACGGGTTGCTACTGAGTGTGGGATGCCCACCCAGGTCCTGGATGCACCCCCAGATCCCAGGTAGCCCCCAGTCCCAGATTCCCAACCAGGTCCCAGATTCTCTCTGGGGGTCCCAGATGCTGCCGGGTGCCCAATGCCCGACTGGATACCAGATTTTCCCCTGGGACTGGATGCCCCCTGAAGCCTGGCTGATGCTGGGTACTTGATGCCCAGCAGAGTACCAGAAGCCCCCCTGGGTCCTGGATGCCCCCGGGTACTGGATGCTGCCCCAGCTCCCCAGTGTCCCCAGGTTCTGGATGCCCCCCCCCATCCTCGATGCCACCAGGTCCCAGATGCTCAACAGGTCCCGGATTCTCCTCTGGGCACTGGATGTTCCCAGGTCCCTGATGGCCCCAGTTCCTGGCAGCCCCCCGCGCACCCACACTGCTTGCCAGATGCCCTCAGGGTGCCAGCCGCCCCTGGTACGTGGTGACACTTTCCTTCCCTTGGCAGGCCGATGTGAGCAGCGAGAGGGCTGTGAGGACGGAGGACGGAGCATCGCTGGCCAGGGTGAGCTGTGCCGGGGTCTAACACGGCTGCAGCCCCCCCAGACAATTGCACGTCGCTCAGGGTCCCTGGGCAGCCGTGCCATCCCCTCTGGTGGGTGCCCAGAGGCAAAACCTGGGGCAAGGCAAGGAGGGGATGGCACCTTGTCCCCAAGCCTTGGCCAGGTGACTGGGACGATTCGGAGGGGCAGGAGAGCATTTTGGGGCTGGCCACTGATGGGGCCGTGCTGTCCTTGCAGGAGTATGGGGTGCCTTTCATGGAGACAAGCGCCAAGACGGGCATGAACGTGGAGCTGGCCTTCCTGGCCATTGCCAAGTGAGTACCTGGGGGACCCGGGCAAGGGAGGTGTCCCCCAGCCCCACCGCCTCCTGCACTGGCACTGGAGCGGGCAGGGGGGGTAACGTGGCCCCACCACCCCAGGGAGCTGAAGCAGCGCGCGGTGCAGCCGCCGGACGAGCCCCGCTTCCAGATCCATGACTACATCGAGTCACAGAAGAAGAAATCCAGCTGCTGTGCCTTCGCCTGAGAGCGGCCAGGAGGAGCCGGCAGCCCCGGGGGCGCAGGCAGGCGGGAGGCAGAGCAGGGGCCCAATCCTGCCCTCAAGCGCCCAAGGGAACCAGGCTCTGACAAGCCGAGCGCGGATGGGACAATACGGCGGAGCGGAGCGCGCACGAGGAGAGCCATCGCCCCGGTGCCAGGATCCAGGGGCCGGATCCTGCTGTCCTGCAGGGCAATGCCTGGAGCCTACTGTGTGCCACCGGGGGAATGACCGCCGTGTGATGACTGCCAGCCTGGCCAGCGAGCCATGGTGACGCCTCCATCACCCAAGCAGGATGCAGGATACGGCCCCGCACCTAGCTCGGGGCCCCTCGGAGCGGCTGGAGGGGCCGTGTGCGTGCCATGGATGAGCCCCTGTGCAGCCCCCATCCCTCTCCTCCCCTGCAGCCATCCCCGCTCTCGGCACTGCTGTCGTCCGGCTGGAAGGGCCTGATCCAGCCCCCCGCGTCCCCGGTGCTGCCAGGCTCTGGCTTCCCTGCAGGGAGCCTCGGCTCTGCCCCGCAGGCTGCCCCGCGCCCGGGCACAGCCGGTGCCCGCGCTCGGCCGTGGCTCCCCCCCCCCGTGGGTGGTGGCCCGCCGGCTGCTGTGGTTGCTGCCGTCGGCTTTTATCCTCCTGCCACCACCAGGGCAGCGATGTCCCCGTTGCGTCCCGGTGCTGGTGGAGGGAAGGGCCGGATGGGGAAGCGTCCAGCCAGGCCTGCTCCCTGCCCGCGCAGCCGATGTGAGGAGTAAAACTCCCCTGGGAGCGCCTGAGCGACACTTGGGGCGCTTCCAGCACACATGGCAATTTGCAAAAACCTTTATTCCCTGCCTCGTAGCCACAGAAATTAGAGACTTTTTTTTTTTAATGAGAAAAGCCTTTTTCTTTTCCATCCCTCCAGATAAAACCATCTCCGGCCTCACGCAGGCTGGAGCTGGTGGGGTGGAGGTGCCCGTGGTGGCCCGGGGCTGCCCGCGGTGGCCGGGGGCTGCAGTGCCTGCCGGCTCCCAGGGCGGGCTGGGTTTCTCTCCCATCGCTGCACATGCAATGCAACTGTTTCTTCCTGCTGCTGGCAAATTGCAGCTGAAACCCACTCTCTGGAGAGCAGATGCCTGAGATGCTTCAGCCAGCAAACGCTGCTTCGTTGGCCCAGCAGGCACCGGCGGAGCGCAGGGTGCAAGGCTTAGGTCCCACGTTGCTGCACGTCCCCGGTGCCCGGCCTGGCCCTGCCGACCCCTCCAGCACGCTGCCGGCTCCCCCGAGCGCTATGCAGGGCGGTGAGATGGTGAATATTTGGTTACGGAGCTGAAGAGCTGATGCGAAGCGCAGCTTCAGAGGGCACGGCCATGCTGCACGTGGGAGTCGGGGACTGGCCGGCACATCCATCCCCGCCAGCATCTTCCCGGGCCCTGCGCCCGTCTCTCACCGGCCCCGGTGCCTCCTTTGCCTTTGCTCTGCTCCTGGGTCTCTCTTTGCAAGTTTACAGATTAAAGCTGGGTATTTTCGAGGCTTTGCATCTGCCTGTTTTTTTTTATTTTTTAATTGCATGAGAAAAACCTGCCCTGGGTCTGCAACGTGGGAGGCTGCTGCACCCCGGCGCTGCGGGGCCGGGGGGGCCCTGGGAGCAGCCGTGGGGAGGGGGAAGCGCCTGCCACCCCTTCTTCCCCGCCGGGGCTTTCGTTGCACATTCAGACAGTCCAAAGGTGAGAGGGGAAGAGTAAACATGGCCTGTTAAATTAAAACCAACCTCCTCCCCTGCTGTTCTCATGGTGCGGAGTCCAGCATTCCCCAAATAACTCCGTCTTCCCACCAATGGCATTGCTGCTGCCGCTTGGCTGATGTCTGCAAAAAATGCTGGATGGCTTCAACACAAACAGACGTTGGCTCTTTTCTGCTTTCCCCCCCTCCAGTCTGAGCTCCCTTCACGTCACGCCGAGCCGCAAAGGGCCCTGGCAGGAGGAGGCAGCTGGGGTGTGACAGTGCTGCCTGCACCCCACCGTCCCGCGGGCGCTGCCGGGGTCTGCCGGACCCAAAATCAGCTCCGGCTGTTTCCTTTGCTGCCGCCTTTCTTCCTTATCGCGGTCCCCTGCTCAAACCAGCCCTCCTGGAGTTGGGTTTTGTTTCCTGGCTTAGGGCAGCGCTCCCAAAAAGCGTATTCCCCCCCCCGTCTCGCCCCCGAACACGCGTGCTCGTGGGGCCGTGCCGCTCGCAGACCCCTTGCCGAGGGGAGGGCTGTGCCGCGGGGATGCCGCAGGTGATGGACCCCCCCCCCC